CCCTCCACGATGGCGACCGACGAGAGGAACATGCCTTTCATCAAACATCTCGCATCTAGCGGTTCGTCGCCATGGTTGCCTTTTCCCTGTACTGCGGTTACAATAGCGCAATCGCACAACCTGACATTTATGGTGCTAATGAGATATGTAACATTTAGATCGCAAAATACGGACGTCTGCACTCGACACTCTTCGCACATTCTTGACAGCACCAACTACTGCGCGAAAACTGACAGAGCTCGACTACCTAAAGCTATGGAAAGGCCTTTTCTATAGTGTCTGGATGTGCGATCGCCCTATACCCCAACAGAACCTATGCGCTGAGCTCGCCGATCTCTTGTCCGTACTACCCGCTCCGAGCGACGACGAATGCGTTGTCGTTATCCCCTTCCTCCGCGCCTTCTGGGCCACGCTTTCTCGCGAATGGACCGCCATCGATGTTCTACGCATGGAAAAGTACTTGCTGCTAGTGCGTCGCGTATTTAGTGCTAGCCTTGCCTGGGCTATAGACGGTACGAAGAGCAAGAAGAGCCAGAAGCGGGCTGGTGTACGCGCCGACCGAATGTTACGATTATTCGAAGAATGGCCATTCGAGAAAACGGGCGATTTAGCTAAAGTGCCTGTCGGCTTACGTTTGCACGTATTAGATATCTGGGTCGACGAGGTAGAGAAGCTTGAGCTGTTGGGAGATACAGGCGACGAGAACTCGGTAGATTCCAGTGATTTTTTGTCTAAACTGCGCCGGATCGTCGAGGCGCAGTCTAAATCTACCTGCAAACCTGTGCGAGCAAGAGCGAAGGAATCTCTGGCTGACGAAAGGTTACCGTGGAATACAGCTGGCTCCTCGGACGAAGAAATGGCTGAGGATGGCGACGATGGCGAAGATAACGGGAATGACCAGGATGGTTGGGGGGGTTTCGATGACTAAAATGTGCTAGAAATTATATCTCGAATGATCTGACGGGGTGTGGAGTTTGGGCGTCTACTCGGATGGATATATCAAAGGATCAAGGGACTTGTTACTGGAGGGGTTTCTAAAGCACGCTTGAAGGCCTATGGAAGGCCAATATACCCTCAGGTATTCTACTTAGGTATGGTACACGCTATACATATTCTCACAAGACGAGTCTGAAGACTAGACCACATGTCTACTGCTATCTCGGGGTATCTCATCACTAAATGCCTCCGTCCACCTTTGTAAGAATCTCAAACGCCGGCTTTCTCCCAATCCGATGGACCGGCCGCTTCGTATTTTCCACTTTTTGATAATACAGTACCTAGTCCCTGGTGTATTTCTACTTGGAAGGGCTCAAAAGGAATGTGTTCTCCGTCGATACTGATGTAGCCATCTTTCTGATTTCGAGGGGTGAATCGGTATGCCGCTACCTTCCGGTATGAAACGTGAGGATTGTCGAACAAGCGACCGTTTTCGACCGATGTCAAAAGTTCTAAATACTTAGCTGCGGAAATATCGCCATCATTGAAAACAACGTCCATCAATCCGTCGTTAGGGCATGCTGCAGTAAAGAAGTTTGCGTCGGGCGCCATCCAGGCCATCTGTTAAGCGTTAGCCAGTGCGTCACGTTTGTGAGGTAATATTTTAGCGCTCACATTTCCACAATAGAAGTTCCCTAGCTTATCATATGACGCTGTCTCCCAATCGTCGGGAAGTTTGTCATTGACGGTTCCAAACTTCAACGGCGGTAACCCCTCTCCAGTATCCGGATCGCTCGACGTTGACTCGCCTATCGAGGATGTTTTTCTCGACGCATCGCCTTCTTTTCGCACAGTATGGTCGCCCTCTGTTCGTTCGCGCTTGTAATGTGCCTTAATATCTGCCTTCTCCGGTATCTCCACCTTCATCGAGATGTCGCATGGGTATACCTTCTTGCTGAATATTCTCTGGATTAACCCGACATTAAAACGTGCAGCACCGAGCCAGCGCAAGTTCTCCGTGCCCAAGTCGCACTCCGCTATGATACCCACCGACTGGCTAAGGAAGCTGAGCGTCCGCGTGCTTCCCTGGGTGATGCTCATTAGGTCTATCGGCGTCCTGACACCTTTGACAATCGCGAGCGCTGCATAGCTTGGCCAATGCGTGCCGTTGAGATTGCAACTCATCGCGTTTCCGCTACCGCATGGTATATGCGCCACGGCAATCTGGCGCAGGGCCTTGCGCGCGTCCTGCCGTTTCCCCAAGCCGTTGATGCATTCGTACGGTAGCCCATCGCCGGAACAAGGGATCACGATATCGTAGGCGTCGATGTCGAGGTTCTCGCATATGCCAACGGCTTCTCCGGAAAACTTAGTTCGTGTCACATCCAGGGACATGCGTGCGGCCTCGAATAGAGGCTTCACTTCGTGCTCCCAAATTTTGTCGGCACCACCAGGTCCTGCATGCGGATTAACCAAGACCTTGGCGCGCCTGTTGCGCTGAGCCGTCCCGTACGCCCTCTTAAAGACGAGATTGATCCAGGCGTCCAGTATATCTTTGTCAAACTCGCCAAGAGGGTAAGATAATTTAGCGGCGCGAACGTGTTTCTTGGAGACGGGGTTGGCGTAGTCGATGATAAGCAGTCCGTCCGAGGTAGCTTCTGCCCAAAGCACTTGGTAAAGAGGGATCACGACTACAGTAGGAGCATGGCCGACCGCGAGACCGCATAGTTTCCGCCGGTGATGTTTCCCGTGGGATTTGTCTACAGAAACGGAAATGTATATTAGCTTTGGTAATTTTATCCGTTTGAAGGAATTGGTTGTATACCGTTGACGATTAAGTTTTCGTCTGTTAAAGCGAGAGACACGCCGTGCGGAAATAGAAGGACATTATCCACTACGGTTGATCGAGAGACCGGGGCAGAATTGGCCATACGGATCCCGGGGATAGCTTCATCCATTTGCGTAATTAGTAGGTATGGGTATAGAGTGACTGAAGCGAGTGACTTGAAACTAGAGACAGAAACGATGAAATGAAAACGATGGGCAAAAAAGAAAATTAAAAGAAACAAGCAAACAAAACAAGATATCAGACCTTCAATACCAATGTTACATGTAGTATCGCGGCCGAATATTCATAAGCACATGTGTAGATGAGTGAATGTTTTTACCTACCTGTTTCTGTCGTCTCTGTCCCAAGGTTCCGAGGTAACCTTTAAAAAACTTAAAAAACCCGTTTGAACCTGGTAGCTACCAGGCGGACTCCGTACTTGCCGGGATACCGAAGGGCATGTTCTTTGTTATGATTGGTTGGTTTCATAGCTGTCACAACTCGCAACTAAATTGGATGATATATGCGTACGGTATAAGTGCATGTGTATGTTTATATCGAGTCTGCCCGTGATCTTCGGCTTAATCAACAAATCCAAATCCCCGGGCTTACAATAAATAAATACAAAAAATCAAATACTTCAAGACTGTAATGTTGAATCACCTAATGAATTCCCGGACCTCTTATTGAAGTATCTACCCACCTAATAATAGAACATGTGAAAACGTTGTGCCTTGCTGCCTCTTGCGTCGTCCCTTGCGTCGCCGGATCCGCCCATTTACTCATATCTTCGTTTGGCCATTCCTTCTCGCTGCCATATTCCTTTCCGCCCCTACGACCAAGGCTACATGGTGACTCAATGCGACGACTTCGCCTGTGTCATCAAGGACTATAATTTCGAGGTCCATCCTTCCATTCTTAATACTCTTCGCCCGAACACGCGCGAATAAGAACTCCACTCCTGCGGGAGGTAGAACCTTTTTGATGTCTAGGTTAAGAACTACAGTAGGAAACCAAAATGGTGGTGGAGGTTTGTTTCCCTCTTGTTTACGCCATAGGCCATCGATAATGGAGGGGAAGTGATCACAAACGAGACCTACACTCTCGTTCGTGAATCTTTCGCCCGAGTCGAGGCGTAACCATTCGTCCGCCAATCCCGGGAGTACCTGACCATCGTGTGGTAGAAACGTGCGGACTCGGAGAGCGATCTTGCGAAACTTCGGAAACGGTTTGTCCGTCAACTCAACCCAGTAGGGATCCTTACCGCCAGCTAGCAGCACAGCAAAATCCGCCGGCGGCGGAGGTGGAGATGGATATAAAGACCATAGAGTATTTAGGGATACACCAGTCTCAGTATCCATATTAGAATGAGTGAGGTAGCCAACGACCTCCTCGCGACCACTTTGTGACAGGGCGACATGAATGGTCGACGTCTGCCGACCGAGCTTGACATCGCGAACTACTAGGGTTGCGGGGCCTTCTTGAGTTCGTCGCAAAAACTCGATGTGGAGAGAGATCGTATGAGGTTGATTCTGTGTTGCGAGGGTGGTACGGAAATGGGTTGCAGCGACTCTAAGAAAGACTGAAGTCACTACGCCTCCGTGAGGAACTAAGCACGCAAATTAGATCGTGGACCACATCGACAATATCAGAAGCATGATTGGCATTACGCACCCGAGCCAACACACCAATCCGTACTAAAGTTGCCAGCATAGGTATGCGAATCTATGGCTGTGATAGCCGTAGCTTCCGCAAAGGTGGGCGCCATTTCGAAGAGGAAAACAGTCAGATCATCTCAACACGAGCCAGAGATACATGAAGAATGTATAGGTACATAAACTATATATCCATAAGGACGTATGCATGTACTTCATATCATCATTGAGGGTGGTAATATGGATGTAAGTGGCATATAGTTGAGCAGCACTAACGATGTCCCTATGATATCGGATAGGTAGTACTTATTTGGTACGTGTTTCACTTGGGCCAGTAGTGGATTGTGATTGAGATTTATAAAGACCGCGACCATGCAACATCAATGATTGAAGTTGATAGATGCGTGTAGCTTTTAGCGGGTCGAGCGGTGCGAGCCTCGGTAAAGTTGTCCCACATTTTTGATTACATAATCGCCACAGTATCTACATACTATTCGAAAAGAAAAAAAGAAGGGAAATAATTCACAACGAAACTCCAATATGGAGTCTCAAGTTACCCAACCTCTCTGATATCTCTACTACACCCGACGTGGGACTCGAACCCACAACCTTCAGATTCACTTTACGAATCCATCCACTACCTACGGCAGGAAATAGAAGAGAAAAATAGAAGTCTGATGCTCTACCATTGAGCCAGCCGGGCTAAGTCGCGAAAATTTTGCTTGAAACTATGCCTATATTAGCAAGTTTTCTCCTAAGGCGTACACATTGTGTTTATTGTGAACTGGTATCTCCTAACGATAGTAGTTAATCACCTAAGTAGCGGAGAAGAAACGAACAGAACATTGAATCTATCGAGGCCATCGGTACATAGCAGATGGCCTTCTACAGGGTCGATTAGTAATCGAAACCCCCTATTCGACCATAAGTTCCACCATACGTATGCACTGTACTAAACGGTAGCCGGGCATTTAGATATCGGATATCATTTATGCAGTAGTCACGTGGATCTAGATATTTGTTTGATTACCTGCCTGATACCTACTAGTATTACTGTTGTCTTTTGATTTGATATTGATGTGGAAACTCAAGAGCGACACCTAATTTCCTAACTAATACAGAATGCCACTTATTTTAGCCACTGCCCAGCACGAGGATGCCGTCCGGATCGCGGAGATCCACATGGCTGCTTTCGGTTCCAACGCTATGCTTTTGGCACAGTTCCCCACAACTGCCGTGCGGCAGGCCATGAAACAATGCGTTCGGTTGAAAGCACTCGCCGATATCGATGACCCAAATATTACCGTCCTCGTTGTCCGGGATTCCGGCCTAGCCAAGCGAGCTGGGGATATTCAGGATTGTAGTTTTTCAACAACCGCGAAAGTCATTGCATTCGCTAAATGGGCACATCCATTATCTACCAATGAGGAATATACCGAAGCTCCGTGGATCTGGCCTGAGGGCACAAATTTAAAAGTTGTTGAGGAATGGACTAAGAAGACGGAGGAAGCACATGCTCGCGCTGTGGGGGATTCTCCCTGTTATCGTGAGTGGACAACTCCCACATCCCCCGTAGTCGATCCACAAGAGCTAAGTAGAGACGAAAACCAGATCTTAGTTTCATCGGTACCGACCCATCCTATGAAAGACTTGGGGCAGCAACTATGATGATCCAATGGGGTATTGGCCAATGCAAGAAGTACCACGTGCCCGCATATCTTGAGAGCACCCTCGAAGCAGCACCATTCTATAGGAAACTTGGATTTGAGGAAGTAGAAAATTTTTCGCTAGGCTGTGAGATTGCTGATTCCGGAATAATTAAAACATACGAAGAAATTAGTTTTATCTATAATATTTGACCTATACCTTTTGCTAATACTAGCACTGTCTTGTAGCGCCTCCTCGTGCCTACCTACGGAATTATATTTTGATTAGGAAAATCGGTAGTGATTGCTACATTTCTGAGGGTTAACGGATATACTAAATTTTGGTGTAATCTCTATCTCGATTATCGTTACTTTCTTTGTATTAGATATTATATATAAAATGAGGTATCGTAGGAATCGCCGCCCATTTTCCTGATTAAAGCGTATTGACGTAGGCGCGAGGAGTCGTCACAAGTCAGTACTAATACATGCCGAAAAAGCTTCTTCACTAGAAAAATGAAAGCGCCTTGCTTTGGCTCATACCTCTGTTAGAATAGTTAGCTTGTGAAGGAGCTGTCATGAAAGGTTCGAATGATTCACGCCGGAATGCTTCGCATTGCATGGCCTGTTTTACGCGTATGTATGGGTCGATATTTATAGTGTATTCGATCCGAATGATGCAAGCCCACTTGTAAACGCGAGTGCGAGGTTGGACGTACGAGACACTATGAATAACATAGGTACTATTGCATTCAGCAGCGTGACGCAGCGGCAAGGAAATGACGCTTACGTTGAAGATGAAAGGATTAAGAGTATCGAATCTCCATGAGATAGATGAGGTTAGAGGTAGTCACAATGAGGGCAATGGAAATGACGTTATGAATAGCATAACACCAATATAGGCGTAGCAACTTAACTCGAACAAGACAGAAAAGTGCTACCGCAAGGACTCTAGTGCGGTAGAACAAATCGTCAGAGTAGGTAATGATATTCCCTCTTCTATAACAAGTCGAGCTTTCCTTATTCCTGTTCTCAGCCCTTCTTGGTCACAACGCCATTGGGATCTATTTGCTTGAACATCTCATTTGAATCAAACCACGTTTTCAACTCTGTGACCTGGAACATACTGTTAAGATGAGCTACAGTAGTCCCCTCAATGTCAATTAATTGTCCGTTCGCCTTAACCGTGACCTTTTCTCCAGCGCTTCGATGATCGTCGAGTCAATACTACCTAGTGTGCTCTGATGTAGAGTGTCACTTACCTACCTATTTTTGCCCACGTAATCGTTTTTCATCTCACCCCAATGCCTCCATTTGAATGAAACCACGGGTGGTCCGCTGTGAACTTCTAACACCTCCCACGCAAAGGACGGCATCATCCTTTTGAACGTCTTGTGGCTTGCGGCGAAGTCGGATTGTCGCGGGTCGTAGTATTCGCAAGGCGGGATGATGGCGTTGTAAGTGCCTACGCGAAGCATGTGTTCTGCTGAGTAAGGCTCTAGATTATTAACAGCGAAGGTGAACGTTTCATGATCGATCGTTCGCCAATCTGCCAATCGTGTTTTAAATGACGCTTCGATCTCCCAGTTCTTGACGAGATTTTCAACCAATTCGGAAAGACTCCCAGCTTCGTGCTTGCATCGTTTTGCTATCAAATATGATATGTTAGTTCCATACAACTTATTTTCGTGTGAGTGCCGCCGTAGAATTACCGACTTCCAGAATAGAAGTTTCGCGTCTTTGAATAGTCTGGTGGGCGTGTATTCCTCCACTCAGCATTGGAATCTCCGAGCACAGCATTTGGATCTTTCAAATAGTCAGGAAGTGATGGTTGCGGTGTAGCATCGAGTTCATGATCGGCCATCGTGACGACAAGACTCTTCGAAGAAAACAAACTTGGAATCTATGATAATACAAGTCATGGGAATATCCAATTTCTCGAACAGTGCAACATTTAAATTACCTAGGTATCTGTACGTATGAGCCATTTATATAGAACGCCACAGGTTTCAAGAGGCCACTAGGAGAGAATGGACGCGCAATTCCGGCCAATGCCGGGTGCCTAGATCTAGCCCTTTAGTAGAATTGTCCAAGTATGACGGTATTATTTCGTGTACATCTAGGCACTGAGTGGCTTGTAAAACTCGACATATAAATGAACGGTCGGCGCCGATGCTGCGTACCAAAGTACCGAGTAAGCAGCATTTAAATTAAGAGATAGGAACTCTCCCACCTATTATTTCGGACGAGCTTGAACGAGGATCGTGTCATCAGCTTTGGCGCTATCCTCTCCGTCTATCACCCCCATGGGCTCATAATCTACGTCGTCCCATTTCTCCCTCGATATCGCCATCATTTGCTCCGCAGTGCCCCTACCGTTAACGAAGGAATTAAGGGGAACATCCGGAAATACTTTATGGAGCAGAGCATACGCAAAAAAGCTCGAGGCAAATCCGTATAGATAGCTCATATAGTATAGTTGCGTCAGACCATCCGGAACGATGACGGATGTGTTGACCGCGGCAATAAATCCCGGAAGCGTGGGAGCAACACCAATGACCCACTAAACAAGGGTTAAACACCACGATAGATGAAATACTCTAGAGCGGGGATAACTTACGGCAACCGGGGCACGCCAATTAAAGCCTGCATTGTACCAGTAGATGCTACTACTGTCCCCGCGGTATAAGTCGTCGGTCTTGATTTTCCTCCGAGCCACTACCAAGTAACTCGCGACCATCATACCCGTCATCGGGGCTAGAAAGATAGAGTACGACGAAAGAACGGTCAAGAAAATCGTCGATGTGCTGACTAATTTCCACGGGTTGACGATCACGCTAAGAACCATGGTGATATATGCTCCGCGTCGAATATTGATGTATTTCGGAAACGTGGCCGCGAGGTCGAACCCGCCGCTCAGAGCGTTACCAGGGATGTTGATACCTATCTGAGAGATGACGAGTGCAAGCCCCGCAAAGAAAGCAGCCGCTCGAGTCCCCGCCGTAGGGGAATCGGTAATCAATCGGGAAAGAAGGGTGGGCGGATTCCAGATCGCCTCCCCATCAAATCTATGTTGCGTGGCTGCGGTGACGAGAATCCCAATGACAGTACATACAATGCCGTAAACAGGAAACGGTATTGCTTGGCCTATGATCGCATGACGAGGACGCTTGGCGAACCGCGCATAGTCATTCTGGTTGAGGATACCCGCAGCGATGGACCCGATGGTCGACACGATGCCGTATACCATTAACCAAGCCACACTATCAGAGCCACCAGTGCTAGGGAGCGAAGTGCTGGGGCTGATGGTATCGCCGAAACCCGCCGGCCCCATCGTCGCGAGTGCCCAGATGAGAAAAACGATAAAGAAGACCATAGTGATCGAGCTTGCAACAATGAAGAACTTTTCAAGCTTGTGGGGCCGAATCCAAGCGACGGGTAGACTGACGACGCTGAATACGATATAAGCCACAAACTGTGCCGTTGTCATGCCCGTGTCTTCGGGCATGTGATTCGGGATGTGCTCTTCCAACTTGACATCCCAAGACTGGAGTATGACGTAAACGCAAGTGCCGCCGACCCAGGCATTGAACCCATACCAGACTAAAGGGTCGTTAACATCTTCAACTATCGCGATGTAGAATATCGCTCACCAAGAGAAAGAAATATGCGGTTCCAGATAACGAATTGAGACCCCCACATGCCCCATACGGCGCGGTTGGCGACGGGGAAGCCGACTAGAAAGCTAAGTCAGCGCGCAGCCCGGAAGGAAACCGATTGTAAAAATCCGACGAACTATTGTAGTAGGCACCAGGAAGAGAGTTGATGACGCAAAAGGCCGCCGCTAGAAGATTGCCGATGACAATGCAAATTATAGCTTGCCACCAGGTCAACCCCAGCGGAATTAAGGCGCTTCCGGTCAAGTAACTCGCGATGCTAAAGTTGACGAGCAGCCAGTAATTGTTGAAGACCATGAAGCCCCAGGTGCGCCGGGCCGCTTCAATGGGACGGATGTCGTAGTTCTGAATTCTTTGTTAATAGTAGACCCGGACGACTC